ATCTAGGTGAAAGTGTCTCTATGTGCTCAGAATGAACTGATTTCTTTGACGTGAGGCGGCTAGCAGACGGTCAGTTTATCCAGTCTGTCTGCTTCCTGACCTGGGCCCTAGTTAGTCAAGTACAAACTCTAAGACTATGTGCCATATTTCTAGAGAGAAGAGCGGCACCTCCACAGGAGGGATGAAGACCATCTCTTTTCAACAGGTCAGGTCTGCCCCAAAAACTCATCCAATTATCTATGAAACCTATGTTATTCTGCGGACACCACTTAGACATCCAGCCATTGAGTGACGACAGTGCAAGTTACCATTCTCTGCCATTAAATAGGCAAGTGCGAGCAGGATATTTTTTGTGTGTGTGTAAAGGAAGGTAATAAGCAGGGTTGGGGAGTAACGTAAGTTTCAATAAGTATTCAGATTACAGTTACATTTTGTAAAAAGTGGGAATACTATCAGGATTACATTTGTTTAATTTAAAATTAAATAAATTAGTATTTTGACATAACGCTATATATTTAGCGCTGCTTCATCATAGTTCCTGGTAGAACCCTGCACGGGCCTCAAATATAGGCCCTAGCCCGGCCTATTCATGACGTATTGACACAAATTTCAACGGTCGCTTTGTCCAGTGTACTAGACAGACTTTAGCTGTTGCGGCGCAGACACGGTGTTACTCACCTATCGAGAAGAAACAAAGCAATCTCGGCATCCGATCGCAGGCCTTCTGCTCCTTGAGTTCTCTCCAGCGCTGGAAAGCTGATCTGATATTTACACAGGTCCTACTTCTTGCCTTATTGCCTTAAGCCTTCTTTTGTTCCGCAAACATTTTCCTCTTTTGTTTTTTATCCGCCATCTCTATCTTTCTGTCGCTCGGCTCGCTAATGTCTGTCCTGTGCACTAAATGCTTTCTCCTCCACGTCATGAGTGGACACGCCCCTTACTGCTGATTGGCTACAAGTTTGTTTTGCTAGTTGCCCGAATCAGTTTTCTAAAGTGTTTTTGAAAAATCACTTACCCCACCTTTAACAAAATAAAACAAATCGAAAACAAAAACTCTTTCATTAGAATCATAATCCGTAAAGATGCACTTCTCTCTAATGAGGAGATGGCAAGTCAGGATTGACAACTTCATCCTTGCGACACCGACTCGGAAAACACTAGTTTATTAGTAAATAATTCAAATATCTCCTTACTATTTCCCCCTGACACATTCATGGTAATAACTTTTGCTGGGGCTTTGCATGCATTTGAACGCAGATCTCTTCAGCTGCGCTGACGGCACGCATGCTGCTGCTGCTGGACACTAAACACCGCCGAGCCGCTCTTGACAGTTGCGGTAGCAAGGTCTCGTGTTGTTTCCACCAGCGCAGCAATTTTTTTTTTTCATCACTAATTGATGGATGTCTAAAATATAAAAAATGAGAAGCCTAAAACAGGCCCGAGGCCCAGCCCGTATCTGAACTGTGACGTGAAAATTGGCCCGAAGCCCGGCCCTAGGGGCTTAAAAAAGTCGGGGCCGTCGGGCCCGGGATGAAATGCAGGGCTCTAGTTCCTTGTTCTGTTGACACATGTTGACTCACGTGAGCCGCCTGCTGGTGCGTGCGCAAATAACACCCGTCTCCAATTATTCTCCTCAAACGTGGGATGAATTAATTACGATGCTTCCTGCTGGGAAAAATGTTTTCATGTCTGGAAATTTCAGTTATTTTGTTTTCAAAGAGGATAAAGGAAATAACATTGTTGTACAGAGTA